ACTAGGAAACATGGGAGAGGCCTTAGAGAATAGCAACATCATTAAAAGGCCCACAAAATGTCTGTGTTTGGAGAACCACAAGTGCAAAATGAATGTGTGAGATGCAACCAACAAAGATCAGATTCTTTTGTTTAAAAAATCAGTGCATAGTCAAACATCCAATTAACTCTGTATTGGATTGTTGGCATCACTGAGTATGTATAAAAGAATACATAATCCACGCTTTTTGTGGATTTCTCCAAACTTCACAAGAATAAGAAAAATTGTCATTTTTCTTGGCCTCTTGGAGACACTTGGTGCTTTTCAGAGCCAGGCTCCATTTGTGAACTGAAGAAAATACAGCCTGTTTGGAACCTTGCAAAACATCCTGCCTTCCCACAAGGTACCAAAGATAGCTGTGTGTGTAGAAAGCAGACATTCAAAGCCCACACACAACACATCTCGACACTCATTTGCATGGCACAAGAAAGAGACGCAGATGCTCATCTCGCCCAGCAGATACATTGGAGTCTATCACTTTTGGGGGAAAAATTGACTCTGTTTTGACATGATGCCAGAGAAGGGGGAGATTTTTCTCCTTCTCTTCTCATAATGTGTATGTATTTATTTAAAACTATTTTAGGGCACCTGTAAAGGTTGAACTTTCTCATCATAATAAACTGATAATAAACTTTAATTCAGGAGCTTCTCATGCCCTACCTACCATTGTTTATGGATCCTTCAAGTGGCATGTTGACACACTTTTGCTTCTGTGTCTAACCAGAACTTCTAGCAAGTAGTTTTAGAGCAGGGACAATGGGGCATTTGCCTACAATTTCCTCTTACACTTTTGCGCTAACCCACGGAGTCACCTCGAAGTTATGTAGAAGAAATGCAGGCTTCTGGTAGAGCTTGCATCTCAATTTTGTAATGGAAGTGAAAGTAGATACAGTGGATTAACAGTTGATTAACAGTCTCATACAAAAGCTAAACCTGTGACATTCCATTATGTTAACTGTCATCATCATCATCATCATCATTTTCTTACCTTTTTTAGTTTCAAGGAATTCAAGGCAGATTTACATAATTCTCCTCCTCCTCTCAGTCTTATCCCCACAACAACCCTGAGAGGTGGGTTCAACTGAGAGTTTGTGACTGGTCCAAAATCTCCCATGGCTGATTGGGGACTAGAACCAGATCTCCCGAGTCCCAGGCCCAAACTATTAACCACAACACCACATTTGCTCTCATTGCTTGAATTAATAAAAGTATACCCTTCTTCATCCAACTCATAAATTAATATAAAGTTCAGTAGCAAACAGAAAATGGGGTAGTTGCCTAGCACAGGAGTGAGCAGAAAAAAAGATGTCCAGAGGTTTGGAACTTCAATTTCCAGAAGCCCCTAACCATCATGGTCAATGGTCAGGAAAGCTGAGTTGAAGATGAAAACTTCCTTTCTCCCCACCTTTGGCCAGAAGGCTTTAATTGCAGGGGGGAACAGTAGGAAGAAAACAGGTCTTGCAATGGCTATTAAGCATGGCGGCTAAATGAAGCTTTCATGTTAAAAACCAGTGTGCCTTTCAGTAGACCAAGGACAGAAATGGCCTAGCCCTTCCTTGCAAGCCTCCCAAAGTCTGGCCACTGTTGGAGAGCTGTCACCAGTAAAGATCCACCTGGCAGGGTCTTCTCAGTGGCTCCACTGCAGTGGTGGAATTTTCTTCCACTGGATTCCCATGTTTAGATGGGCAAGACCTTTTCAGTCTAAAGGCCTTTAAGAATGCATCTCTATTCTCTGTTGTGTTGTCTTCTTGTGCTTTTAATGCTGCTGCATTTCATGTGTTTGCTGCTTTTATTGCTTTGAAATATTTGCAAATTGCTTCTTTGTTTGTTTGTGTTTTCCGGGGAGAGATTATTTTTAAAAGATGAACATCAATCATTAACATGTTAAAAATGCTGGCATCCATAAAACTTCATCTGATTCAACTCTTAAGGAGCTGTGAAAAAGACCAACTGTAGCTCCATAGCAGTATGCAGAAAGTTGCAACCAATGTAACCCGTATTCTCAAATGTCACAAAACCCACATAATCCAGAAACCACATGGAGTTAACTAGGACTACTCGTGTGTGCTGAATGTGGCCGTTTGGGAAGCGTGACAGGTCCCTTCCCTCCAACAGAAATATTTCCAAAAGTAAAATGATCTCAGTTATGGAATATTTACCTCTCTCTCTCATATCGTTTGCCAACTAAAAATTGCAAAAAGATTTCTGCACTGATAAAGACAAACATGCTTCCTTGTCTTCAGGCAACTTGGATGTCCTTTGATGAAGTTAGCAATTTCAGATATAAATCTAAATAATGGCAGAGAAATTGTGTGTATGTGTGTGTGTGTGGCTGGGGAGGGTTCTTCAGTTCGTTGCACTGTAACAGGGCTGGCAGGCACAGCTCAAGATATTTTGCTATGAGGAAAGACAAGATGACATCTTCTGCCCAGAAGCTAACTGAACTGACAGCAGAATCTTAAAATTGGCAATGGTATAGCTTCATCTGCCACCTCTGAGGCTGAAGACTGGTTTAGGGGGCCCAGAACTAGTTGTGTGGCATACCCAGATCTTTCTACTAACAGAGGGAAACAGCCAGAGAGTTCATGAGAAACTGGCCTCCAAGAGCTGTAGCCTGAAGTACTTGCCTCACCACACCCAACAGTAGAGTTGGCCTGCAGGTTAGAAGGACCAGAACACCCAATCCAAGTCAGGACTCTAAGCTAAATCATGTCCATGTTAAATCCTCTAAGTACCTTTCTGTGATATTTCTACAGTACAATCAGGAATGCTGTTGCTTGCATAGCCAAAACAGTACGCCAAGGGGATATTGCAAAACTTAGAAAAATAATTTTTAAGGGAAAGACTCAGAACCACCCCAATGAGACCTGTGTGTGTTCATTGCTCTTAGGATACTGGGGGGAAGTCAAGAAGGTGGAAGGAAACAAGAACCAGAATGGAGAACCTGGAATCCAGAACACCAGGTCCTTAAGGACAGTATAAAGGTGTACATTTTCCATTCAGTCTTTTAAAATGTACTACTTTTAGTGGCTTTTCTTTCTTTAGTGTTCCTGCTTTTACTGTTGCAATGTTTTATTATTTTAAATTACTATATAATCGGTGCCTTGATAGCTTTTTAGAAAATAAGACTGAAGAGATAATATGATAAAATAATAGTAATAATATATAAATGGATGAATGAATAGCAAAAAAGGAAGATCACAAAGAAAAACCAATTTCACACACACAAGCAAAAAAGAAAACAATGTTATCCACCCTACCTCCACCAACGTTTTAACTCAAATGGGATGACTGAACTGTGAAACAATATGAATCACTCTTACAACTCATCATGATAAACAGCCTTAGCTTATTATTAAAACTCCACTTCCCAACAAGGCTTCTTGTCTTCAATTGCCTTGTCTGAAACATGGAATTTTATGGAGCATCTGCACATCTCATCACGATCTTAAGTTTTCTATTTCTTTCATCTTTTTTTCTTCCTAGAAAACAAAACAGGGCACTAAGGACAAAAAGATAAAAAAGTTTTAAAAATGCCTTTGGATTGCTACTCCTACTTGGAAGCAGCTCAAGTTTATTTATCAAAGATTCTGGGTGCTTTTAGATGAGACTTTTAAAATGCAAATGCTTTCACTCATTCACAGAAATTGATGGGGAAATCCAGAATCAGGGCAGGGTGTGTGTGTGGGGGGGGGGGGCATTTGTATTCCTTTGCACTTTCTCCACTTCTTGGTCCACCCTGCTTACTACTAGAGCAACAAAACTTCAAGGAAGAAAAGATGAGATGTTTGCTCAATGTCTTCTGATTGCCAATGACAGGAGCCATGGATTTGAAAGTGCTTCCTTTCTATGTCAGTCTCATGAAAGAAGAGGCAAGCCCATAAGCATTTAAAAGAGCTAATAAACACCAGATTAAAACTATAAACGTCTCTCAAAAATGTGTCCACATTTATTCTAACAGGATTCTTTCTGTTTCTAGTGACACAGCAATCCAAGGAGAGAGAGCAAAATCCATCCAATAGGTGAAGGAAATTATGCGTTCACAGAACACAAACACAATTGTATTCCATCAAATCAGGGATGAGGTCCTGAATCAATATTGATCTTTAATTAAGTCAGCATGCCTGCTTATTGCAGTCTCTTAAATAATTGGAATGTAACTTTTCCACACAACCAAGCAAGTCTGAAATACTGTGCGTGCTTATCACAAAAACCAGCAAACGATTGGAAGCAACAAAATTGATGTGTAAACAGTAAAACTTTAACCAGTTTGCTACCATGTTCCAGATTGTTTTCTGTTCTCTAATGGCACGAAGGTAATTCATAATAAAATGGAAACAGAGACTGATAAAACATGTTTTCATAATGCAATATGTGATGCCGTGCAGTTCAATTTCCTATTCCCCCTGTGCCAAAATACCTTCCTTCCAACCCTAATATTTGCAGAACTGTGATCGGTTCGCCCTGGAGCAAGACAGGAGTTCCCCCATCTCTGGAGGAGAGCGGCCTATGTCTTACATGCCATTATTTTTCAGAACACATGGACGAGAAAGCTCCCGGGCCGGGGGAGTCCTTTGGAATCCTCGAGGCCCCGCCCCAGCCAATAAGAGCCACGTTTAATATTTATTGCCTGCCAGTAACCAATGACGCGCCTGCTGGGAGCAGAAGACGCTGAAGTTGAAAGAAGGGAGAAAAAGAAAAGCCTCAGAACTTTTTCCCAGCTTTGAATGGGGCGCTGCTTGCCCCACCCGCGCCTTTTCCCCGCTTTGCGCGGCCGGCCGGGGCTCGCCCGCGGATCGCCCTTCCGCGCAGGTGAGCTGGGTGCCGGGCGACGCGGATTCCCTAAGGCGCCAGGGCGCCTGAAGATGTCACCTCGGTCCCACCGCCTTCGCGAGCGGAGCCTATAGAGCAGGGGAGACTCGCCCTGGCTGCGGCTCTCCAGGGACCTCCATGCGGCGACTATGGAGAGAGCGGCGCCCTTTGGACTGCCGTGCCTGTGCGTGCTGTGGACGGCGCTGCTGTTGGAAATGTGGCCCTGCGGCGCGCACGGCAACTGGATGTGAGTAGCAGCGTGAGTGGGCCGGGAGCCGGCGGGGTCGGGGATCTACCTGCTCCGCTCCTTGCCTTCGCCACGCCTTTGGGCACTTTCACACGTGCGGTGTTTGAATCTCCCGGGTTCGTGCGCTAGTACCAATGGAAGAGCTGTTCCGCGGCACCCTTTGTATGCCCACAGCTTCAGAGTGCAGTTGTGGAGCCCCATATTATGATTGTTATTATTAATACTTGAGATGCTCCAAAAAAAAACAGTTTCCATGCGAGGTTTCAAAGAGGGTTGCGATGCTCAGTTATAACCGGCACAGCATGGGCAGGGAAAAATGCTCGTTTCCAGCTCAAATGCCTGTTTGCCAGGGTCTCGATGATCACACACCCAGGTGGTAATGATTTAAAGCCATTCTCTTCTAAGGAGGCTTAGAGTGCCCTTGGAAAGCCAAAGGCATCCTTTCTGTTAGATCCTCCAAGGTCATTTCAAACTCAGCTGTGGGAATGCTTTTACAATGCCTCCCACCTCAGAAGTAGCTGCTGTAGAGTTGAGAGGAATTTACTCCTGGATGTGCAGGTATAAAGACTGCATGCTAAACCTGTCTTCACTTGCATTACTTTTAACCCAGTGTAAATGCAGCTTATGCGTGGTTAGAAAAGGCATTGAATGTATATTTCCTTGGGTAGCTTTTATGTTAAATTCCAACATAAACAAAAGCAAAATTATTCCAGCCTTGCAAGTGAAAACAGCTTAGAATGGATGGTTTTAATATGGCCCTCCATTGAATCATCAGCCCCTCACTAATAATATTCACAATATTCATATGCCGAGAGCAAAGTTCACAGATGCCATTTTTAAACTGACATGTGAAAAGATTGTAATATCTATTTAGCTAGAAAGCACATATCCATGTAAAACTTGTCTTATTAAGCTTCTTTGAGGCACAAAGGCCCTTTGATGGCATTGTGTGAACACTGTTGAACTGCAATTAGTATATTCCTAATTATGCTGGAATAGCTGCCTCACCAACACTATTGTAGGTGAAGACCCCTGCACCAAAAACTCAGCTCTTTAAGCTCTTCCAGTTACAGAATTACGGAGTATTGGAAGGGAACACCAGTTGTGTACTGCCTGTAATAATATGGATTTGGTGCTCACTAGGTGTGTTTTTGACATGGTTATGCAATTCTACATTTTTGGAATGGTTCTAAATTGATTCCAACAGTTTAGAAACTCGCTCAGAGAATCCTCCTCCGAAATAACTTGTGGGCAGTGGATACCTTTGATTCAAGATTCCTTTCCCACTCCCATGAGCACCAGACGGTACATCAGGATCATCCAGGGTGCCTGCAGAGATGAGTTGCTCATTGCCGGCATGGGAATGGTTGCCGCAATCCTGTGGTGGCATTTTTGTACAGCTGGCTTATCAATTGCGTATCATACCTTGCTTTTTGATATAACTGGGCTTTCCCAAGGAACTCCAAAAGTGGCATCTGATCTATCTACCGATCAAAAGGAAAAGCTACCTTTGTTCTCAGTATACAATTAAGTTTGTCTTCCATTTTCTAAGGGTGTTTCCCAGCTTAGGAGGTGTCAGGTACATGACTCAGAATGCCTGCCACCTTCAGCCCACAGTCCCCTTTTTGATTGCAGCTAATTCCAGTGGATTCACTTGGACAATTAATTCGAATGAACCAACTCAGGCAGGGGTCCCCAACTCATTTAGGCCACTGGATACATTCGGAATGTTCTGTGCACTCTCACAAATTGGATCCCATGTAGGAGGTGCTTGCCCATTTATAAAAGTGTTGCCATGGTGGGTATGGCCTATCAGACATTTTCCAGAAGACAAACTGGTAGAAATTTAAGATGCACAAAAACTTTTGTACAAGGCGGAGGTGGCACCTGCCATCCAAAACTCAAACAACATTTTTGAACCCAGAGATGTCACTGGAGGACCATAGTCCACTTTGCTAGCTTTCAAGTTTTTTAAAAAAGTTTTTAATTTTTAAAAAACTTTAGAAATAAAATATAAATCAGGGCAACCAAGGAGTGTAACGAATGCCAAGAGATCACATTGGTATCCATGGATACCATGTTGGAGGTACCAGAACTAGCAGCAGAAGTGACTGACCCTGCCACCTTTTTCTCCAATCATAGCTGATTTCCTGTTTTGGGTACTTCCTGTCTGGCATGCATTGAGAACAAATGGGCATAGCTACCAAAACTGCTGGTCCCAATATCACATGAACAGCCTCCAGGAGTGACCCAACAATGATCAAAAGGGTTTCTTAAGATGATTTTTATTCTGTGGGTCTATCATTTCTCTAAGCAGTGGTGTGGTTGAGTGCCCATTGCTGTCCGCAGGGTCTTCCATGATTCTGCTTTCCTTTGACCTCTTGTGTATTGACAGCAGTGTACTTGGTTTCTATTGCTTCTCACCCCTGGGCTGTGATGACATGGCTCTGCTGGGCTGCTGCAGCTGTGTCATACTCCAGCTTCATCAGCTTCTTCTTAACATAAAATGTCTGGTACTTGGGTCTAACCCAGGGGCTACTTTTGCAGGTGGCTGGGCATTGCCTCCTTTGGTGTCCCAGAGAAACTGGGCTGTGCCAACCTGCCTCTGAGCAACCGCCAAAAAGACCTGTGCAAGAAGAAGCCCCACCTGCTGCCCAGCATCCAGGAAGGAGCACGTCTGGGCATCCAGGAATGCCAGAGCCAGTTCAGGCATGAGCGGTGGAACTGCCTGCTCTCACCAGTGGCGGCCCCTTCTCTTTCCGGCAATCCTTCCTCCATCTCTGTGACTCCTGCCTTCTCCGTCTTTGGCTACGAGCTGAGCAGTGGTAGGTGCGATGGTAGAAGCATATCAATCACTTGTGTGGGACTTTGAGCCACAACGTTTCTCTGGCACTGAGGAAGTTTACATATGGAGACACAAGTGAAGGTCTTGCAGGTTGAGCTAGGCCAGCCCTACTTTGAAGCAGAGTGAAGCAACCAGCTCAGGAGGCCGAGTCCTTTGGAGCCTCATTTCCCTCTTTATAATTGTTCTGAACACCTGAACTGCCCTCAGTTGTGATAAAGGATACTGTCCTGTCATCAGCCTTGAAATACGACTCAGTCAGCAATCCCTCCAGCTTCTGGCCGAGGTGCGTCATCTTGTTCTACATGTCAGGCTGCAAGATGTCTTGGGCAGCCTCGGTCCTCCACATTCTCAGGCAGCATTCTCTGCCAGGGCTGGCCAAAGACATTTTGCTTGAAGCAAAGGATGAAATGCTCCACTTTTACCACGACACATACAAAAACTGGCCTAGTGAGAACTGACGCTTACTTCAGCACTGGCAATTGGACAGAGTCAGCCACCAGACCTGAGGACGGCAAAGTAATACTTTACAAAGCCCATAGCTCTTTACTCCCCAAACCTCGCTGCTGTCCCCTTCTCACCCCCAGGATCTGCTTCATGATACCTTGCTTGGCCCCATGCTAGAGGTGCCCTTGTCTGCTGTCTTAACCGCGGCAGACTTTTGTCATTGCTGAGCTAGATAGACTGGCTCCTTAGCTGCCCAAAGGACTCAGAGATGCCTTTGTAGATCTTGTACCATTACTTGATAAATGATGCAGTGGCTAACATTCACTTTGGCAGAGGGCTAGGCAAACAGGTTAAAACAGGTTCAGTGGAGCTAATATTCCCAAGAGCAGGACTGAACTCTGCTCCTTCTTTTGGCTGTATGGTCCGTGTTGACACCTGAATCAGCTCTGTGAACTTACCTCTGGCCACAGGGACTTGCTGCTGATCTTTTGAACAAGATCTGCTTGTGTTCTTTTGTAGGTACCAAAGAAACGGCATTTATCTTTGCAGTGATGGCAGCTGGCCTAGTGCACTCAGTGACTCATGCATGTGGCGCGGGGAATATGACAGAATGCTCCTGTGATAACACCCTGCAAAGCGGTGGCTCAGCCAGTGAAGGCTGGTACTGGGGTGGCTGCTCTGATGACATCCAGTATGGCATGTGGCTGAGCAGAAAGTTCTTAGATGGCCCTGCCAAAAACACCTCTGGAAAAGATGGAAATGCCTTGAGAGCCATGAACTTACATAATAATGAAGCTGGAAGACTGGTATGGATTCAAATTTCCCATTACTGCTACCATGATTACTCTTATTTCTTTGGCTTCCCCCCTTCCCCACTGTCAATGTAGCTATGCATGCCACCTAAGGGGAGCATGGAAAGGAATAACCCCCCTGGCACCTCCCAGTGCTTTTTGGACTTTTTTTGATTGTGTTGCAGAATCTTCTACACACTGGCTCTGCACAGTGGAGGCTGTTTCAGCAAATTATGCATTTCCTGTGCTGAAGTATGTGAATCACAGCTCAACATGTATCTGACTCACTATGTGCACATCTTTTAAAAACACGGGCGATCCAGGCATGGATGGAGGTTCCCCTGAGTCTGGGCAGATCATTGTACATGTATAGAATGAATTCCAAATGGAAGATGTAACAAAATGTTGCAGCATGGAAGGAGTACTGCTGTTGAGAATGCCAGTCATCCCATTCCATTACTTTCCCACCCCAGGTTTTCTGGGCTTCTTTCCACCAATATTTAGTTAGCAGTCAACAACCGCTGTGCTCACTGGGCTCTGCTCCCTTTAGAGATTTTGTCAGCGGAATTGTTGGACTTCTGCAAAACTCTGGGACTCTGCCAATGGTGCTACATCTCACATGTATGGGTGCTGCCATTTTGGTTCCATAAGCAATAGCTCTTGGGGAGCTCAGGGTAGCACATGTGGTAACTTCCAGCCGTCCCCAATTTAGCACGAGAAGTGACTATGGAGTAAGTTAGGCTAAGAGTGCGACTGGCCCACGTAGTGAACATCAGGGCTGAATGAGCATTTGAATTTCTGTAAGTCCAGTTACCATGGCAACACATCACTCTGTGATTCCCCATGCATCTTGGAGTTGCTACAGAAGTTACACTTTCAAGGAGCTTTGTCTGGGAATCTTTTAGAAGTTTCCTCCACAAGCCATGTATCATGTACTTGCCATTCTTCACTCACTGTGGTTTGCTGGTGCTTTACATAATATCCAGGGCCCTCCAAGGCCTCTTCTGTGCTTTCCAAGCATTTTTGTGGAGAGATTTTAATTAGGGAAAGTCTGGTATTATGAGGAATTGCAGAATGAAACACTAGTGTAGTTGTGTGATTCTGTCACACCACAGTGCCACCTAGAGGCACTCTGTCTTTCTATATGTTCTATAGCAGAACATATAAAAAGACAGGGAAGGAGAAAAATAAGGGGGCAGGTGTCTGCAGAAAATCCAATCTTGTTCCCATAAAGAATACAGAAGCAAAATGTATAGTGGAGTAGTGGATTAAAAGTCACATCTGGAAAAGTCCTTCGTTATTAGGAATGAAGCATTGCTGTTGTTCTGTGCTGAGAAAGTTGGAGCTTACGTTAGAAACCAAAAGCCAAAATTCCTATTCCTAGATCTTAGGCCAGCACAGATCAGATGCTGGGTTCATATTACAGATATCAGCACTGTTTAAGCTGTCAGAGATATTATTTTAGCCCTCAGGTGCAGATTGGCTTGGCAAAGTTGAGAGAAAATTCACCTGAAGGTTGAGTATAGTCAAAATACATGCACTCATTCTTCTGCCATGGGAACATGACCCTCGGTCTGTGTAAGAATCTTAACCAGGATGTTACAAACATAAGGGGCTGTTTCTCTTCCGCTACAGAAGTATCTAAAGTTGGTACTGTGGGCACACACCTCATCTTCATTTATTTTCAGAGTAACAAGTCCTGTAACTGAAGAGATATCTATTGGCCGTTTTAAAGCAGGGTTTGACTCTTCAGCCAAAAGTGTTGATGTCGAAGAGAGCAGATTAAGCTTTAGGTATGGCATATAGGTCTCTTCCACTGATACATATTTTTCTTAGAGAACAGGAACAGATTTCAGTCCTTATTTTTCAGAGACAGACAGCTCCTAAGCACATGGAAGACATTCAAGTCTTTTCAGACTGTACCTAGTAGTGTTGTAGGTAACAGGATGGAAGGGAAGAAATTGATGTTGTGTGATTGTGGATTGATTTGGCTTAATCTCTTCCTCCAGGCTGTAGCAAAACTGATGTCAGTGGAATGTCGTTGTCATGGAGTGTCTGGCTCTTGCGCCTTAAAAACCTGCTGGAAAACAATGTCATCATTCGCAAAAGTTGGCAGCTTTTTGAAAGAGAAGTATGAAAACAGCATTCAGATTTCAGACAGACTGAAAAAAAGGATCCGCAGGAAAGAAAAAAGGCACCGAAAGATACCCATCCACCAAGAAGATCTGCTGTATATCAATAGGTCCCCCAACTACTGTGTTGAAGATCGCAAACTGGGAGTCCTGGGGACGCAGGGCAGGGAATGCAACCGTACTTCAGAGGGACCAAATGGATGCAACCTTCTCTGCTGTGGCCGAGGATATAACACCCATGTCGTGAGGCACGTGGAGAGATGTGAGTGCAAGTTTGTTTGGTGCTGCTACGTGCGCTGCAGAAGATGCGAAACCATGACTGATGTTCACACTTGCAAATGAAACCCTCCACCTCAGGAACCAGTGGCGAAGCATCTAGCAGAGGACCTTTCCTAGGGCTATGCTAAGGAGATGTCTCAAAATGACGATCCATGGTCCAAGCTCTAAAAAGTGTGGTTCTTAATTAGGAGGACAACGTGGAGTAAGTAGCTGTCCTGCCCCAAAGCCACAGATACTGGCTTCAGTTGTGTCTAGAGGAATACAGGGAAGATAGTCCTCTTTAAGCATACATAATGATCTCAGAAGCCCTCGAAGTCTGACTTTCTTGTTCGGAGGCTTATACAATACCCAGTATGAGATACTCACCTCCTATCCATTTAAGACGCTTGTTTATAGAGGCCTGTGGAAGCAAGGGACTACCATTGGCCGTACAGCTGTTCAGACAACAACTGGTATAGGGTGGAAAAGACTGAGCTGCTCCACGTCGTGTACAATGGTTCACCAGGCAGAGTCAAAGATTTCTTGAGGGTGAATCTGGAACTTGGCCAAGCCATCTGTACTGCAGTACGCTGTACTTAAGCAAACGGTGTATATAGCAGCAGTCTTGTCTCGGTTTTGCACTTACCTCTGTTCCACTGATCATAAAATCATTATTTAGGACATGGAGAGAAATGAAGCCATTTAGGGAGGCTGTCACAGTAGTATTTCAACACAACCATCACAGAACTGTCCACTTAACATGTGCTGAGGGGTGACGGTGCCCCATTCTTTGTATGACATAGGTGGGCAACTTGTGGTCCTCCAGATGCTTTCATCTCCAACTTTGCCATTGGCCATGCTGGCTAGGGCTTAGGATTTGTAAACCAAAAAAACATGGAGGGCTGCAAGTTATCCACCCTCTTTTAGGACAATGTCTTATTTTTTTAATTTGAAAAAGCATACCTAGGCTATTCCTAACTGAACCTGTTCTGAAGATGCCGTATAAGTATGCCATGAAAACTCTGTTCTGTGTGTCAGTGTTGGAGGAAACATATAAATGTGGAGCAGAATCCTGTGACACAAAAGTCATCTCTCCAAGAAGGCTGCCAGTATTGCGCTTCTTGCATCATAGCTGTGAAATTACCCACTGAAGCTTCTTCAGAATTGTAGACCAATCTTATAAAAGAAAGATAACTTCTTATCCTTTCTGGATCTTTTCTACTACCCTGTAAGAGGTACTTATTCTCATTAGGTTAATCTGAATAATTATACAGTGTTTATTTCTTTTACTAACAATCAGCAAGTGTGGGCAAATATGATAAGTATAATAATTATAATTATGATAAGCATAATAAGTGCAAAATTGTGAAAAGCTAAATCAGCCTTGCTAGTGCTGATCTGTTAGATCAGGAGACTGATGGCGCAATCCTATACATGTTCAGACAGAAAAATGGCCTACCATCCCCAGCATTGCTGAGAGAGCCATGGGATGCTGGGAATTGTAGGACATTTCCCTGTCTAGACAAGCATAAGATTGCACTCAAATGCATTTAATATAAGTAAAACTGGGATTTGCAAAGTTAGCACAGTGGAACCAAAAGGCCCACCTCTTTTTAGTCCTTATATACAATTTCCCCTTAAGCACCTTTGGCTGCATTTCCAAGAACAGCTGAGAGGAAGGGCCAAGCAAAATGTTTGGCTAATCATGTGTAGCAGAGCTGTCTTGACAGTTCTCTTGACCTTTGCACAAGCATGTGCAGTCCTGATTCAGATTGGAACCATGGAACTCCAGGGAGGGGATGGGTTAATACCTTCTCCTGGAGGATTAATACCACCTCCAGTGGTTCAGAGGGCCAGAATGGGACCTCAGGAAGGTCAGATATGGTCCCTGGGGGTGAGGTTCTGCCCTCTTGATCTAAAAATCAACACTCAGAGCAGGATAGAAATATAAAACTGTAATATTTGGGAATGGGGATTCAGAAATGGGCTGGCATGGCTTTGGCAAAAATTTACACTCACACGACATGTCTTCAAATGCAAAAATGCAACACTGTTCTTTAAACCGAATCCCCTACACCATGATTCTAATGATGAGGTTTTGTGGTCCCAGAAAGCGTGTTTGAGAGGAGAGAACAAATCTCCCCACTCCAAGGGAAGAATAAGACCTCAGCGGGGAAGACATAAACTTCAAATCCCAATTCCAGATCTTGCAAGAAACTCTTTGCAGCCCTTATCTTCTGTTGGCGGTCCAAGGTCACAAAGCAGGTGGGCTTGATGGGTGTTTTTTCCGCGTGCTGGAAGACGCTTTGCACTTACAAAAGCCAAACCCTTCTTGGTTTACAGATTTGGGTAGCAATTTATGCCAGCACTGGAGAAGTTATAAAATGATTCCATTCCATTGTTTGCAATGGGCGCAAATGGGAAAAAGATAGCCTACTCCTTTTTCCTTCTTCTCTGCCAAACTCATGTTAGTGTAGCTTAGGAAATGTCAGAGATCCCAACATTGGAGCACCCCAACGTGGGAGGCTAGATTTACCCTGGCCCTTTCCTTGGCTCTGATGCACAAGCGGAGTACCACAAATCACTGTTTCCATCCCTCAGCAGCAATATTCTGTGTGCTTTCTCAAACGTGGAAGATTAGCTCTCTCAGCATGAAGGGTGCTGACTATTACATAGAGAGGTGAAAAGGACACACATGTATTGGGTCTACTTTGGACTGAAAGAGCACCTTTTCTTCCAGCAGCATCCTGTGTTTTCCACTCAGATCCACTTAATCTTGTTGGGCTCAAAGGGACTAACTCCCAGGTAAGTGGGTTTAGGTTTTGTCCTTAGATGCTGATTGCTCTTGCTGGATTGGGGCAGCTGACTGAGGTTGTTTGGGAGGTCAGAAGGGACTGTGTATGCACAAAACTGCCTTGATACCTTCCCTGACTTCCAGTGCTTACTGGGGGCAGGGGTCTGCAAGTTGTGCTTCAAAAGGGCAAAAACATGCTTTCTGCAGGTACCAATGTGCTTGTTTTCCTGGGCCGTGGCCTCCAGTTGAAGAAGACTCCCTTGACAAACTCAACCCAGGCAGGGGGTTCCTTCCTTAGCCAACAGCAGAAACACCTGGATGGTAAACATTCTGCTCTTTAGCAGAATTATGGCTAGTTCATTGAAGTGCCCCTTTATGGTTTGTTCTTGCTATGATCACCAAACTGGTACACAGAAATCTTACTCCCCAACTTGGCTTGGCTTGTATCTACTGTGCAGTTGGCCTAACATTTGCAGTTTTTAAGGGAAAGGGCAGAGGAATTAGACATGCTTCAGGTTTCAGACACTTCCCAACCACTGAGGGATACAAAAACCAAATGTGATGGATTTGAGGGTTGGCTGCTGCTGAGAGACTATGCGTACATATGTAGCCCTGTCCTACGTATGTAGCCCTGTCCTATCTGTGTGTATTCTGTTTCATCCATTGGGCTTGACTCCCAGCTAAGTGGGCATAGGACAGTAGCTTTGGCCTTCCTAATCTTTGGCCTGGTGGAATTTTACATCTACAAAAGGAGGGGCTTTGTTTTTAAACAAAAGCTTCTGATGCTTTGAAGAAAAACAGCCATGCTTTAATATAAAACTGGTATTTTGGATAAAACTCCAAAGCATGTGTGTTGCATTTCCAGAGCTCATAAAATAAAGTTTACAGTGGTTTTTCATGGATTTACAATGCAGCGTAATGCACATCTACTTAGTCCTACTGAGTTCAGTGTAACCTACTTTCAGATGTGTATAGGACTGCAGCCTTAATTGCAAATAAATGCTGTTATGATCGTAGCCTTCCTTGCAATTTCTCGCAGGGGTCCTCTTTTTTCCCTGTAAGGCAGCTTTTATGCTCCCTTTAATAAGGTTTGGGAGCACTTGCACAGGCCGTTCATTTCAGCCAGTCTTCTGGCCTTGTTCACTAATACACAGGGCTCCTCTGGCTGCAAGACCGGCTAATCACTTTAATGGATGAAACAACTCACTGCACGCAAATGGATGTGTTACTTCAGCAGCTCCCAATTTAATTATGCTTGATGCTTGCGTCCCTCTGCCTCCACCCAAACTAGGTTATGAATAAGGTCTTAACCTGAAGACATCTTCCTATGAGCTAGAGAAGGGAACACATGATGTGAAAGATTTTAAATACAGGAAGAAAGATGGAACAAGTTAGAACCAGTGTGGTGTGGTGGTTAGAAGGTTGGACTGGGAACCCAGGAGATCTGGGTCCTAGTCCCCATTTGCCATGAAGCTTACTGGGTAACTTTGAGCCAGTCACTCATTCTCAGCCTAAGCTACCTCACAGGGTTGTTGTGAGGATAAAATGAAGTGGGGAAGGCTATGTAAGCTGCTTTGGTAAGGTATAAATGTGATGTAATATAATCTTTTGCAGGAGAAAATGAATATAAAAATAGGCAAACTCCTCACCTTTTTCAAACAGATATGCTTTATTCCTAAAATGCAGTTAAAGGGCTCAGAAATCCTTTGATAAATGCAGATGCTGTATTCCTATGTAAGAAACTCTTCCCCTAACAAACTGTTATGGCTTGAATTCCAGTAGTGTGACCCTGCCACCTGAGGTGTCAGCCATCCTAGGTGGGGCTAGATGTGGCTCTTAAACCACACAGGGTGATACGGATGCAGTTGGGGTTGTCTCCACATATCTATCTGCATAGGATCTCCTTGTGGAATTATGGCTCAAGTGGAGAATATGGCCTCTGTGTTGGGCTATCAGGTTATGAGAGCATGGGAAGCAGTATTTATAGTGGTTATACACTGGCTTCTTTAGCCAATTATTTCTGTACCCAAGTGATGTCAAATTGGAGTCCTAGTCATCCACTAGATTGACAACAGGCTAACCCTCATTCAAAGCTTAAGTGTAGATTGTCATTGAACCATGGGTTGTTGAAACAGGAGTTCCTGCATTGTCTGAGAACAACTCACTTCCTTTCCAACAATAAACCATGGATTATTGGTTAAACATGGCCAGGTTAAAGCAAAACAATAGCCCACATTTCAACAACCCTCACTCAACCTATACTCAATCCTTGAGGGTGGATTACCATTTTGCCTGAACCAAGTCAGTGGCCAATTTCCACAGTACGAGAAACTATGGTGAATTTTTGCTGTTTAATTTTTATAGCCAGGGATCTCTGAGTTGTCTGTAGTTGGTCTGTTGTGCCATCAGAACCTAGTTGCAGTGTGGTACATTTGGTTTCCCAAAACCATGGGGACAGTCAAGGTTTTCATGAGAAGTCACTATGGCTTTGCTTGACGTCTGGATCTGGGAGATCCATTTTACCCTTGATATTGAGGAAATACCATAGGCTTGTGGAAAGAGCAACAACAGAAAGGGCTGCTGTAGGTATTGGATTTTACTATGTACAGCACCCTAACAG